TAGGCTCAGGAGCACCTGGAACAGGTTGTACTCCGAGAAGCGCCGAATCGCGTCGGTGCTCGCCATGACGCCGAGGCACCCTCGAATCAGGATGCAGGTACTGGTAGCTCCTGCTCATCTTCTCCTGCCGATGTGCCTGCAGGCTATCAGATCGCCCTGCGCCCTCATGCAGGGGAGGCCTTCTTATTTGGCCTTTTCAGCCTAATGTTCTGGGCCCTCGCCGTCCCGCTCCAGTCTCGGGTCTTGCGAATCGTCCTCCTTTTTGCAACAATCCAACTTCGTGTTGCCGATGGGGTCTTGTCAGTGGCTTGCGTTTTACCTCAGGGTGAGGTTGTAAACTCCCCTGGGAGCCTCCCTTCAGCAGCTTGGGAACATGAAGAGGCCCCTGCTGTGGCCTTCCATGCCCTTGGCAGACCCTTGCCAACCCCTGCCAGAGCGCTGACCTTCGCTCAAGTGAAGGTCCCACAGGTGCCCCTCACCAGTGGCCCTCCCAAAACAACTCAGACGCTGTTCGGAGACAGCTTTGCTCTTGGAGGGATGCCTGCGTACAAGGTTGAGCTTGAGTCTCTGCGACTTGACACCCTTTCAACCTTGCTTGAGGACAGCAGGAGTGCTAGTGAAGACTACCCGATCTACCTCGCCGCTACTCTCCTTGATGCTGTCCTCGAGCACCACCACGGCGATCAAGATAATTCCCCAACACCAGCTAAGTTGTCTCTTGTTGAGGCATTGCCCGATGATTGCAGTGCCGTGCCCCCCGTGCACCCCGCGCCATGGCCGATGGCTGCTGCCTCCTTTAACCAACCCTTGCAGCACGCACGCTTGCAACTCGGGGGAGCAGACTTAGGCTTCACGGCACACCAGGCGGCACTTTTTCTACAGCCTCAGGTGCGCTTCGGCGACTTTAGGGACCTTCTAAGTCGCCTGCCTCCAACTGTCGCAAAGGCACTGCACAGCACCTTCCCAGCGGCCGTTCCAGCCTCGCCGCTGCTCTGTTTTGTCGATGGGTCCTTCACCCCGGCAGCAAACAGTCACAATGCGCTGATTGGCTGGTCCTGTGTCTTCCTTGATCTGGAAAAACGCGGCGTCAGTATTGTGTCAGGGCCGAGGCCTAGATGGTATGCTCAGTCGGAGGTGCCAGCATCTGCATTTGTCGCAGAGTGCATTGCCATGACTGCGGCGATATGGGTTGGCAGCACCGCTTTCTTTTGTCGACAGGTGCTGTACCTTTCCGACTGTCAGGCGGCAATTCAGGTTGCCTCTGGCAAAGCCGCATCCTTCGCCAACGATGTGGCCCTCGTCTTGCGGCGCACTGCATCATGTGCCGAAGCCTTTTTGGGGGCACCTCTGTCAATTCGCTATGTGCCTGGACACAAGGGGCATTTCGGCAATGAAGTAGCCGATGCGGCTGCGAAACTGGCGTCCAAAGGAAACGCCGTTGGCAGACTCGTCTGGAGTGACGAGACTGGAGGCTCCGTCGACTGGTGGGCGTGCCAGGCTCACCGGGTCGAGTGGTGCGGGATTGCGATGCGTAGCCTTTTCGGTGATAGGACTCTCCCCCCAGTCCAGAGTGCCCCCGCGCAGACCCGCGCATGCTGCGCCAGCACAGTGCCTTTTGCGCGCCCTGTGCGCACACACTGCGCGCACACTGCGCACCCACCGCGAACACAATGTGGGCTTACGCCCGAGCAAATGATGGCTCCATTCCGCCCCACTGTACCCACGGAAGGTGCGACAGGTGAACGCTTTGGCAAACTTCACCTTTGCTTCGCCACGTACAACGTGTTATCATTGTGCGGCAAAGCTTTTGCTGATCAACAGCCCGGAGGCCTAGCCTTTGCGGCAGGTAGGCCGGCAATGCTGGCACGCTGCCTCTCTGAGGCTGGCATCCACGCACTTGCTGTGCAGGAAGCGCGCACTGAAACAGGCTTCCTGCGTACGGCAGATTTTCTGCGGTTCTCATCCGGACACGAGTCAGGGTGCCTCGGTGTTGAGCTGTGGTTCCTTGAAGGCCATGCCATCATTCCGGCCTCGTCCCAAGGAGACGCAAAAGCTGCTTTCAGCAAAGAAGCCTTCAATGTTGTCTATCGGGACCCCCGGCGGCTGATCTTGAACTTTAGCTCTGGACCCCTCCGCCTGTGTTTCGCGTCCTTGCATGCGCCTCACCGGGGCACTGAAGCCAGTAAGCTCCAATCTTGGTGGAGCCAGACCTTGGTCATGATCAAGGAAGCTGCTGTTCGTTCACCAGTCATCCTTGGTGGAGACTTCAACGCCTCGGTCGGATCAGTTAGCTCCAACCGTATCGGGGACTGCGGACCCGAGGAGCAGGATGAGGCAGGAGCATTCCTCCATGAGCTTGTGGATTGCTGCCACGCATGGATCCCAGCAACTTGGGACCGATGTCACACCGGACAGTGCTGGACCTACATTCAGAAGCGTAACCAGGCGCTCACGCGCCCCGACATGATCTGTCTCCCTGACTGCTGGAGCGACGCCCAAGTCAGCTCATGGGTTGACCCAAGCATACATGTGGGGCAGCCTTACATTGACCACCTCGCCAGTGTCATCCAGGTTAGAGCCTGGTTGAAGGTCAGCAAAGGTGGTGGTCGGCCTAAGCCAGCACGCATTGATGCCAAGGCCCTCGCCGATCCGGCCAATCAACCCAAGCTGGAAGCAATCCTTTCCGCTGCACCCCGTATCCCTTGGGATGTCTCAGCTGATGCACATGCTGCTCTACTTGTTGGATATCTCCAACATGAGCTCGTTGGAACCTTTGCAATGGCCAAGGGTCAGCCACGGCAGGCTTACATTACTGCTGACACATGGGAGCTCCATGGCCAGGTTGCTGCTCTGAGAAAGCGTTGCGCACGCCTCAGGAGACAATGTTGCACGCAACTTCTCGCCGCAGCTTTCAGGGCTTGGGCGGAAAGGAATGCAACACTATTGCATAATGCAATTTCTTCGCCCTGGGCCTCCAATGCTGCCTCGTGGGGACAGGTGCAATCCAGACAACTGCGAGACCTGTCCCAGCGCCTTCGCAAGGCATGTAGACAAGACCGTGCACGATACCTCTCGGAGCTTGCCGATGAGGTCCAGTCCAACAAGCCTGGCTCCCATCAAGCGCTGAACAGACTTTTGGGCCTCAAGCAAAAGAAACCCTTCGCTCCAGATGTGCTGCCCGAAATCCTTGACCAGGATGGGCATCCTTGCCCTACGCCTGAAGCCACCCTCCAACGATGGCGCAGCTACTTTGGAGATATGGAATCTGGTGTCGAAATGCCCCCAGCCGACGTTTTTGCTGAAGCAGGAACGAGACGCCATCTCGCATGGCCTGCACCCCCAGATGCTCTATCTCTTCCGGGCCCTAGCGATGTCTGTCGAGCAATGGCCTCCATCAAAAGCCATAAAGCCTGCGGGCCTGACGGTGTCCCGGGAGAACTGTTCAAGACCGCACCGGCCTTTCTTGCTCCGCTCGTGATGCCCCTGGTCTTCAAACTTGGGCTTCTAGGCGAAGAAGCTGCAGGGCTGAAAAGTGCCCTCCTTACCTGGCTCTACAAACAACGAGGGGCCAAAAACACATGCTCATCGTACCGTGCGATAATGTTGCTCCCCACTTTGACGAAAGTCATTCACCGAGCATACCGCCCTCGCATATACGAGCATGTGCTTCATCATGCGCCTCCACTTCTTCTAGGTGGCCGAAAAGGGGCCTCAGCGGTCTTTGGAAGTCATGTTATTCGTCTCTTCTGCCGCTGGACAGCAGCCTGTCAGAAGCCTGCATGTGTCCTCTTTGCAGACGTTGCTTCAGCCTATTATAATTCCATTCGGGATTTGACAGCGCGGCGCATCGACGACCAGGGGCAACCGGTTTCGACCCATGTTCCCCACGACGGCACCGAGCAGCACGAAGGCCTAGCCACTGCTTTGCATGGCCCCAGTGCCTTTGAGGCAAGCGGGGCTACGGCGTGGTTGGAATCGCTTGCCGCGGAATTTCATCGAGGGTCTTGGTTTTCGCTTCGCGGTGACCACGTACCTGTGGTAACTAGGCGCGGATCGCGTCCAGGGTCGTCTCTAGCAGACCTCATGTATAGCTCCGGGGTCGCGCAGATCGTGGCGACACGCGATGCCTTGAGAGCTCAGTCACCAGAGGCAGGCCATGTCCCGCAAGTGCCGTGGGACGGCAAACGCGATTTGTCTCCGACGCAAACCCCTACTACTGCCTCGCCGCTCAGCGATGTCATCTGGGCGGATGACTTGGCCGAATGCTTTATGCTTTCCACCTCTCAGCGAGCTGCACACCAGGTCTCTTTGGAAGCGTCCATCCTTGACGAGGCTTTCGCCTCTCAGGGGTACTGCCTTACATACGGCCCTTCCAAGACTGCAGCACGTGTGCTGCTGATGGGAGATGGCTCCCGAGCCGCCAAACGTGCCTTGTTTCAGGGGACGGGGACCCTGCCTGTTCTGCGGGAAACTGAGATGGCCGCAACCCTACCCCTTGTCACCAGCTACAAACATCTTGGTGTGCTGGTGGGGTCGTCTTTTCTCTTAGAACTTCGTGCCAGGTGCGCCTCGGCATGGGCGGCTTTCAGGCAAGGCAAACTCCGGGCTTATCGCTGTCGGCGCATCGCTGTCGCTAGACGGGGCACTCTTTTGTCCACAATGGTCATGCCCCGGCTCCTTTTTGGGGCAGGTGCGTGGCCCAGTCTCAATCGCGGCGAGTCCCTTCTCTTTCAGCGCACGGTTATGTCCTTGTACAGGCAAACCCTGTGTGTGCCCAAGGGCGAAGATCAGCACATATCTGGTGCGATGGCTTGTGCTCTACTTGGGTTGGCTGATCCGCATACACTGCTCCGTGTGGAAAGGCTGCGCTACTTGCGTCAGCTTTCGCAAGCAGCACCAGACACTTTGTGGGCCCTCCTTAGACAGGACACCTCGTACCTTAAGGAGTTGCGCGACGCCATGCAATGGCTATTTCGGCGAGTGTCGGCCACCGTGCCCTTGCAAGACCCTCTTTTGTGCTGGGGAGACTGGTCTCAGATCATGTGCGAAGCGCCAGGCCGTTTCCGGGGCTGGATTAAACGAGCAGCCGCGCTTGAAGCCCTACGCCTGCGTGCCTTTGCCGCTTTGCAGTCCTGCAGACGCTGCCTGATTCCCTTTTGTTCGAATGAGCGCCCGGAACCTGAGCATAGTGTCCGTTTTGCTGAGGCTTGTCTGCCGTGCCGCAAGGCCTTCGTCGACAGGGTCTCTTGGGCCTGTCATGCCAGCAGGCTGCATGGCTACAGGACCCGCGCCACCGAAGTCACGAGGGGTATCGACCAATCTTGGTGCAGTGGTTGCGGCAAACTCTTCGCCAACTCCAGCCGCATGAAGAGGCATGTTTTTGTCACCCCAGCGTGTCAAGTGAACTGGGGCACCTTTCACCTTGCGGGTTCTTTGCCTAAACATCCTCTTCACCCGTCGGCACCGCCCGTGCAGCTGCCTGGACTTGGCGCTGCCACTCGGCCTGCAAGGGATGTACCTCAAGACACGTGTCATCCGGCCCTCCTCGATGCCCTGCTAGGTCTTGATGAATCGGACGACACGCAGGTGTGGGCTGTTATCCAGGACTTTATCGCCCCGATTGAGCACCTGCGAAGCACTGTCGAAGTGTGGCGTGCCCATCCTTCTGCACAGCCTTTCGCCGAGGAAGCAGCCAGTAACATGCTGCTTTTGTTGGATCCGGAAGTCTGCTGCGACACTTTCCAGCAGCCCAAGACGCAGCCCACTCACCTGGACTTCCTTGCACCTCTCCCCCCCCTCTCTGGACTTGCCCTTCCTCTCGCCTCCAGTGGGGCCGCTGCTTCCTTCGTCATCGAAGCACCCCCACTGCCCTGCTTTGTCTACCCTTTCGACTGCAGCGTTCCGCTTGCAGTTGCTGACAGGCATGTGGCTTGGTTGGAAGCTTCAGTTGAGGTGCTCGCTGCGGCAACCCAAACATCCGTTACCAGCCCGGTCCGGATTGGGGCCTCCGAGACAGCGCTCCGTTGCCTTGAGCCGGCGACTACTTGGCTTAAGGCTGGGGGTTTGGTCAGCACAGCGGAAGGCCTCGCCTCATTTTGAGCTTGAGCCCTGTTCCGCTTCTTTCAGTTTCACCAGAATTCATATGCTAGAGGCGCGTCGTATCCGACCCAAGCCTGTGCGAAGAAGAAGAAGTAAGAATAGAAAAACTCGGACTTGAGTTCTTGCTTCTGGGTGTAGAGTATGCTTCTTGCGGTTTAAAAGCTCCTAGTTCATGCCCTGGGGGTAGCCGTTACAGGACGTTTTTTGCCATTGAACTGGCAAACTGAGTCCCCATTGCGTCCTAGGGTCCAGGCTTGCGCCCGCGGCTATATCTACAAAATGCAAGGACACATACGATCATATGGAATCATACGTACATACGTACCTATGCAAGTAGGTACCTCCATACATATGATACACCTGTACCTACGCATACACACATGCCACGCGCATACCCGCGTACACATATGCTTGAGAGCAATCCATGCGCAAAAGCATACTTATTTGCTTACATGCATGCATGCGTACATACATACATACATACATACATACATACATACATAGCTACATACAAACGGACGGAGAGACTGATAGACAAGCAGACATGCACGCACTCATTGAGTCATACATGCACACATACATCTTCTTCCAGACACAGCGAAACAGGTCGCCCAGCTAGTCAGGACAGAACAGAATTGGTCGGGGCACCTTCAAATACATCATCTTGCGAACTCAACGCAGAGGTCTTCGCTAGGCTGTCAAAGGCAGCACTGATTTCAGCAACGGTGTCTCAGTGGAGACAAAGCACCAGCAATGCCATAGCAGCCGTCGGTGAATCTCATTCCAAGCTAAATCGCCTCACAACAAAACGGCGCAGCATGACAAGAGCCAGCAATGCATGCTTACATATGGTAGCGCCGGCAACGGCAAGACAATTTGGGTTGCCGAAGAGAAGGCACTGTAAAAGCGTAAAACAATCTCGACCGTGCATGTCTGTACCTATCAGAAAGAATTATATGGAAGTTTGTAAGAATAATGCAAGATCGGATGTGCCAGGAAATCAGCACACGTAGCTAATCCAACACAGACCGCAGGACATGCCGAAGAATGAGCACATGAAACCATAGGTACAGACTGCATGAAGCTTTAGCTTTAACCTAAGTGCGGTGCAATTGCACACATTATCAACAAGGTACAACATACAAGACTATGCGTAAAAGGACATGCGGAAATTACAGAAGTTCGTACACAGGCTGTGGTAGATAGAGATCCTTTGTGTGCAAGTGCGGTACACTGAATGGTCAGAAGCATGCGCAAGGCCATGTTTGCACAGTCCTGTCCCACGGCAGCTCGCCGAACACATCGAAGAGTATGCTGTTATGAGATAGTGATCGAAAATGATGCCAGCAGTCAGTATGAGCAGTGCGAGCTGTTTATATTGAACACCTGCTTGAACACGCAAGTGCGATAAATTTTATGTCAATGTGAGTGGAGACCAGTTGGTTTCCAAACCTCCGACAAGTTGAGCTCCGGCACCCTCGTTGTGGAGGTCCCGAAGCCCGTGGTCCGTCAGCTGATATCCCGTTGAGCCTCTGTTGCGCGCCGCAGAGCGGTCTTTCCCGTTCCACCACTCTCCGCTTTTGGGTCGTTGCCCCCCGAGGATTTTGCTCGGTTCGGGCGTGCTGACCTCGAAGTGGCTGGTATCCATCTCCTTCGATCTCCTTCTCCACCTTCCTCCCTGGAGACCTCCGGCAGGTTATTGCCCGGAAGGCTGTCTACCACTACTACTACTACTACTACTACTACTACCACCACTACCACTACCACTACCACTACCACTACTACGACGACGACGACTACTACTACTACTACGACGGCCACAACGACTACTAGCACTGCCACCTCCACCTCCTGCTCCTGCTCTCCTCCCGTCATCCTACTCCCACTCCTGCTCCTACTGCTCCTAGTCTACCACTACCACCTCTGCAAACTCCGAAACTGAAGAGAGAGATGAGAAACTCACAAGAAGCCATGTAGGGCGGAATCAAGGCCACCCGAAGAACTCCGCCGAATCCCAGCTCCCGACCCGCCAACTTCGGAGTTCCCGAAACCCTCAGGTATTGCGATCCAGAATGGTGTGGAGCTCGCTGGGCTGTGGGTTTCTGGTTTAGGGCTGTGGGAGTTGCAAGACTTTTGACGGCTCACGTTCTACAAGCGTTTCAGGTTTAGGCTCCAGTGCTGTGGGTTTTTTAGACATCAAGGTGCACGATGTCACGATGTAGCGTTAGCTGGGGATTGGGAGTTTGGTTCAGGGTCTTCGCCTTGCATTCGTCTGCAGCTCTTCGGGTTTAGGGTCTACGGGGTTGCGAATTAGTCTGGTCTTCATATCCTCAGGCCTTCAGCGAACATGCGGTCTGTGCAGTTTTGTAGCAATCGCCGGCTTGAAAGAAGCTGCCTGTCTTTCCAAAGCCTGGGAGGCCTCGATAGAACGACCCGAACCCGAAGGCTAAAACCCACAACCCAAAAAGAGTCAGAAGTGCATGAAATGAAGCCAGAAAACCCACACCCGTC